AGCCTGAAATATTTTCTCTTCAATTTTACCACAGTAAGGCCAGGAAATGCAGCAACATGTAGAAAAGGCTCCAATTTGACATTTTTTTAGCCAACATGCAGCATTTTCTGTGGGAAAGGAAACCGCCACCAAACAGCACCCTCCCACTCCCTTCTGCGGTGGTGGCAGCATCATTATGTGGGGATGTTTTCTCTTCACCAGAGATATGGGATCCGATCAGAGTTGATGAAAAAATAAGTGAAGCTAATTCAAGAGCAAGAAAACAAACCCAGTAGAGGCGTCATCTGATTTGAGGTTAGGGTGGAGGATCTTCTTCCACCTAAACATACAACCAGAACTGCAGAGGGAAGTTTTACAATGAATCAAGTTAATGTGTCAAAACGGCCTAGTTAAAGTTCAAACCTAAATCCAGCTAAGAATCTGTGGCGAGACTGAAAACATATGAGAAGCTCAAAAGTTTCAAGAATGTTGTTTTGTTCTTCAGACAATCCCCCCAAAAAACAAGCAGTTCTTACAAAATAAAACTGTATGTATTTTTATTTCCAAAACATTTTGAGAGTCATGTATCATTTCCATTGTGTGTTACTGTGTTCTCCGTTATTACAGAAAATACATTGACACAATGTGGTGGTAAAATGTGAAAAACATTTAAGGGACATAAATACTTTAGCAAAGTGCAGGAACTAGTTTGTTTCATGATCTTGGAAAGTTAACCTGCCGCAAAGCAGAAAATATTTAAATAGAAAGAAAAAACAGTTAATACAAAGTCCTGTAAAATGACCTCATTTCATTAAATTAATTTTCCAAGGGGAAAAAAAAGACTGACCTTTGTTTTTATTTTAATCCTTTTTTACTGAGATAATTTGTCATATTTCAACAGAAGAGTTTTCTCATCTACCATCTCCAATCATTGGTCATCTTTCTTTAACACCAAGGATTTAGACTGTGAGTAAAAATGCATCGTCTTGTAATCAATTTGTTCATTTCTATTTCTATGACACTCTAATAAAATGCTTACGAGACTCATGAAGATCATTACTGAGATAAAACTTTGGCATATTTAAAAATGAAAGAGATTAACAGATGGCTGTAAATTAAATAGAGTGAAAATAATTCAAGATTTAATTAAAAAAAGAACAGTTGTTTTTGAAGCGCTGCATTCATGGTGTCTCAGCTGATGTATTATCACTCTGCAAAAATAAAACACAGATAGCATCAAATTTATTGCCTTTCTAGTTAGAAAAAGCTTTTTTATTTTTTCAAATAATGGCGCCACCAAGTGGCTGGTTTTGTTTGATCTGCTCAGAGTTGTTTACATTTTCTGTTTACTACCACAAGATCTGCACATGTTGTCATGGTGACACTTTCTGACCTGAAAAAAATGTAAATGGATCTAATTTCCTTTGCAGTAACATAACAAATCCTGATCTTTCTTCAGATAGAATAAATACAGTTTTAGAAAAAACTCACCAAGTATCAGTTTTGTAATCACAATAGATAACAGTGGTGTAGATTTCATCACAATCAGCCTGCAGATGATCAAACATTATGTTAAACAAAACAGAGCAGGGATAATTTTAATCCAATCACACTGGTTCAATTACATATAAAGACAGATAGTCAGTAACTCACCGTACTTATCCCAGCTGCTGCAAGGAAACTAAAACACAATTTAAAGTTAGAAGAGTTTGTTTTTGTTAGACAAGGAAAATCTCAACATGAAAATATAAATAATGTTCTGGTTGTTCTTATGGTGATACATCTGATGTTTTATCTATATTTTAATCCTAATCTTTGCTAATAAATGGAACCAACTTTATTAATCCCTTAGGACTTAATGCTCTGGCAAATAAAATTAAGATTCTGACTAATTCTGCTAATTTTTTGCAAAGTTTTATTTGACACATATGTAATCTATTAAATATTTGATTGTTCACTATGTTCAAATTTATGGGAAAAAAAGAACTTTAGGCTTTCAACTTCACTTGTTTTCCGACTGTGTGGATTTCATTATAACCTCCAACTAACTTGAAACATCAGCAAATGTATATTTATCTTTTATCAGAGCAGGTAATATGTCTCGTCACTAATTTTAACCATTTGTATGATACAGAAAGCAAGAAATCTCCCTGCAACAATGACACACAGCACATTAGGTAACAATATAAGGATATTTTAGCAAAACGTCTTTACCTGAATAAATATTTAAATTTAATGTATTTGAACAATGTGATAAGAAATGTGTTATTTTTATTACAACAAAATCAATACTGAAAAGAGTAAAAGCAATGAAAAAATCTTGCCTGGACTAACAAAAACCCAAAGCAGTTCAATTTAAAAATTAAATCTACTTTTTCTTACCTGCTGGATTTCTGTTTCTCTGTAAAAAAGGAAGAGAAACAAAATGAACTTGTTTGCATTAAGATGGTATAATTAGTTAATGACTTCTGAAATATTTTCTACAATCACAGCAAGGTCATAGTCAAACGTACGTAAAAAATCAATAAAGATAAATGTAGTAATTTGATTCTCACCAGTTTTGCAGAGACTGAAGAGAAATGTTGCTGCACACAAGACGCCTCCCACAGCCAGACCTGATGCAAAGCTCCATAAAAGCATCTCAGCAGTGGGAGACGGGGCTGCTGTCCAGTTTCTACCTGCTGCTAAGGGGAGTTTGGTGGTTTAATTCATATACTGTTCAGTGAATCACTCTTTGTCAGCTCTGCCGTACTTAAATAGAAAAAAATATACATCTGATCTTAGATTAAGCTGTTTAAAAGTTGCTTGATTGTTTACTCCTGTAACCTGCTGAAAGCTAGAACATTGGGATGCTGATATTATGACCTCAGTAGAGACAATAAAACAACAACATTTTTCTAAAACATATTTCATCTTTACCCTGGATGGGAGCAACAGCTTTCGATGAACCTGTGGTCTCCGTAGATATTGCTGGTGTTGTGCTGATCTCAGGTAAATCTACTTCCACAATACCTAA